CATATTCGCCTGCTGAGTAGGAATGTGGTCACGGGTGGTCTGGGAGCTCTGCAGAAAGGGAGAGACTACCGCTACGGCCAGCGGTCCTGTCTGTGCCCCAAAACCCTGAGGAGCCGATGGCGATCCGATCATCATCCTCCTATCGAGAGGTGCCGAACTGGTCGCGCCACGTCCCTCCGAGGACCTGGAGGAATTAGTGACTCCTTCCACGGGTGTTTTGTCGGAAGGAGCATTCGAGTGAACAGCAGGCAACAAGGACGAAAACTGCGAATGGGAATAGTTGTCCCGACTGGTGGGAGGCGGTGTGGGCACAGTCCTGGCCGAGCTGGAAGTCGGCTTATTGACGGAGAGAAAGCGGGGGTGCGCATAATCGAGGCCATCGCAGGTGAGGACGGCCGGAAGACCTGGTAGATCTGCGTATAGATCTTCCAGCAGAAGGTGGAGCTCTTTGACAGCTTAAATGGGTGGGAAAAAAGAAAACGGTAGGGCCAATTAAGGTTGAAGAGCAGAACGCACATACACGTACAAGGCTATCGGTAGCGATAAATCGTAGGGCTGCCCGAATGGCAAGTCCCTCAGCCCAAATGTCTGACAGAATTCGTGGGTAAGGGATTAATGCTTGATAAGTGCGCAGTAGGAAATAACGTAAAGTTGTTTACGAATGAATGAAAATGCTTGCGTTCCTCATCCATGCCGTTCTTCGACGTGCTGGTGGGCAGAAAAGACGGTGGGGAACTCAAAACAACAGTTTACCTAGCGCATTCTGAGTTACCTCGGCAACCATCCCGTCATGCACAAACGCAGCTATGTGCGAACGCTATATCGCCGCGTAGAGACCCATTGCAGCGTAGCAGCTGACAAAAAGGCCGAGGTCAAGTATCTGCGAAAACTTTTCACAATGAATGGGTAGCCTGGCGACTTCGTCGAGAAATTCCGGCGGGTCAGCCAGAACCAGCACGCTGGCGAGCAATACCCTATACTGCTGGCGTATCCGAAGAATCCGTTCGACTGGTCAGTGAATTCGGGATTGGCGTCGCTCACCGACCGGAAGCGACAATCCACAGGCAACTCATGCAGCCTAAAGACCCAATACCCATCAACGAGAAATCCGGTGTCATTTACCGAATCAAGTGCCTTTGCGGTCAAGCCAATTATGTTGGCCAAACCGGCAAAAGGGTTGCCGCAAGACTGTACGAGCATGAACTCGCCGTGAGAAGGAAGGACAAAACTATCCTTGGTCGCCGCCCACGCATCCTCGCCAGGGCACGGCTTCGACTTCGAACACGTGCGAATACTGGGCCAGTCGGATGACCGAATCTCATGTCTGCTGCAAGAAGCATGGCACTCGCACACGGACTCTATTAATAGGCATAGCGATCTCCCAGATGCCTATCCCGCGTTGCGCGAGTCATGGCAGGGCTCAAGGTCACTCGCGGCGGAGCGAACAATGGGAGCTCAGGGTCATCCCGGCAGAGCTGACTTAATCACGCAGTGAGCTGCACGTTTTTGCATCCCTTGACAACGGGCTCGAGTGAGAGTTCGAAACGTCGGGCAAATAAAAAGCCTGGTTCCAGAGAACGTTT